GACCAAACGACCGACTACTGTGTGCTACTCGACTTGATCACAGCCCCGTTCATCAAATCATAGTCTTCAATTCGAAGTCGGTTCGTCACCTTTCCACTTCTTCTTCTTCTTCATCCCCCTCCCGCCCGCCCCCTTCATCCCGGGAGACGATCCATTAAATGCAGTCAGTTGGCTCGGAGGCTCGAATGTGATGACCGTCCGTCATACTTGCAGCCAGCTCTGGCACTTGTGTGATCTAAAGCTTACCGTGCATGGATGGGCTGACCTGACCAGTGACCACAGACTACAGGCATACACTCACAAAGTAACTCAGGGCCCATGCAGCCCAACAACGCCCTCCCTCACTTACTCGCCCAGGGTTAGCTACAGGACTAGCCAACCACCAAGCTCGTAACCCATGTCAAAACCTCGGATCACATTCGTATTTAGCGGTAAACTGGGGGGATGGTTGGTGAAGTTTAGCATCGTGACCAGCCTTATGAAACAGCCCGCAAATAACGGAAAAAAAAAGCCTACAAAGTGTTGTACTGGACAATGCATAGCTTCAACGCCCATGTGGGCGGCACTTGATTAGCGAGCACATGGCTCGATATGCCGGGAAAAAAAAAGGCGTCTGGTCCATACACAACACCCGAACACACGCCCAACATCAACCACAAGCTCCACGGAAGTTTTGTATTTTCTTGTTGACCTGCCCATCACTCAACCCGATAAAGAATAACCCGCCAATCGAGGCCAACCGGGAGCAAGCGCTGAAGAGAAAGCAGAAAGGAAACAAATCTTGACATAATCACGGAAGTTGTATTGATGTATCTTTGGAAAATAATTTACCAGTAAGGGAGAAGCTATCATTACTGAACAACCTGTAGGTGTGTTCGAAAAGCTCGTCAGTCTGCGTGACTCCAAGTGTAGACTCGTATGTCGATGACGGCAGAAAGAGTAATGGATCAACTGGCAGAGACAAAGGCGCTTAGGAAACGGAGCAATCAAACCTTTTCCCGCAAGGAGCCCATCCACTGCACCAGACTGACGCTCTGGTCCGCACGGTCTTCCACCAACATCGTCTGCGCCCATAAGCGGAGCCCCGGTTCGCCGTCTTCCTTGACCACATACAGGTGCGGCACCACAATGCTGCCCACCCCCTTCGACCGGTGATCCCGGCTCTTCTCGATCACCGCACGCACCCGCTGGCTGAACTCGTTGTCCAAGTCCGGCAGGTTCTGCTTGCCCACCCGGAGCTGCGATCGGTCTGCCAGCCCAAATACATCCTCGATCAGCTGAGGCACCGCATCGCGTCCGACCCACAAGAACTGCGTCTGGCCATCGTCGATGAGGTAGAGGCCATACGGAACCACCCGCTCGGACGACAGGTTGACTGGAGGAGGGAGGACAATTTCGCCGGTCTGCTCATCGGGCAACCCAGCGTTGTCCGGCATGTCGTGGAGGGAATACATCTTCGGGTAGATGTATTGGATGAGGAGAGGAAGGGGAAGCGTAGAGAGCATGCAGAGAGCCGCAGAGCGCATATCCGTGGGGATCTGGGCAGATTTGCGAAGGCCGAGCTAATCGAGAATCAGATGCTGATGGGAAACTGAGTGGGCACGAGAGAAAACTTACATTCTTGATCATGGCAAGGAAAAGAACGGGGAGTGCTCTCAGGTTAGCAGGGAACTGGAGACCACCGCCGCTCACACTTCCACCGGCCAACTCCTTCCGGTAGGTGGAGAGCAACTCCACGGCCTTGGCCTGGAGGGCGTCCCGGGCAGGTTCCAGACCGCTTCCCAGAGCCCGCTCGACGGCCTTGTGGCTGAAGTAGGTTGCGACTGCTTGCTGGTCCGCCGAGGCGAAGACGTCAGCCAGGTTTTGGGTGGTGGGAAGCGCCAGAGTCAAAACGCGGATTCTTCTCTCGCCGTTGCAAGTGGTGTGGAGGACGGCGGTCTGCAAGCAGACAACAGGTTTCGTGACTGTCTCATCGATGGCAACCTCAACCACATACGCCTGATCGCGGGGAAACGCGGGGAAAGCGCAGAGATCGGAACTGCGGTTGAAGAAGTTTCCGTAGAAAGTGTTCATGCGGAGGCCGGTGGTAGCGCGGACACGGAGCACAGCCTCCAGACCAATCTCAGACGAAAGGTATTCGGAGAACTCGCGGGCGAATTTAATCGCATCTTCTGGGCGAGCGGCGTTCCAGCCCGGATAGAAGTACGTTTGTCCACCAGTGTACCGGGGTAGGTTGCTGAGAGACGCAACGTCCTGGTATTGAGAAGAGAACAAGAACATGTCGACAGAGACCTGTGCCTTGGAGCATTCCACGGCAAAGCTCTTATAAAAGCTGTTCGCTGTTTGCAGAAGAGCATTCTCCTTGCTGGTGCCAAGGACCTTCTTGTCTTCTCTCATGGTGAGAGCGCCGTGGCCGATGTTAGGCAGAGAAGAACTAAGCACGGTCATCTTACCGCCCACAGGAGAGATCAGTTTGTAACCAGCGCGCAGAGCGGACCCCATGGCGCAGCCGTTGCTCTGGGTATTCTGGAACATCTCCTGCAGCTTGTCGAGGAACGACTCGATGTTCTCCCGGCATTCGCTCAAGGTCACCAGAAGATCACCCGGAATGGGCAAGAAAGGCTCGTCCAGGTCACTGACAACCAGCATTCTAGGGTCAGAGTTGTCCGACCCATCCCGAGGGATGCTGAAGTAGTGGAGGCTGGAGTCAACCGCGATGAAGCCGAGTCGGGTGCGACGGTCGGCGTTCGGGATCCGATCGAGACTTTCCTTGATGCACCGTGCACTTGTCGCGAGCAGACCATTGGTGACCGAAGCATAGCTGACATCGATCAAGAACAGATAAACTAGCGGCTGAGGGGGGCGAACCATGTACTCCTGAGGGGCGACAAATTCCACGACCGAATGGTTGAGATCAGCCCTCAGCGACCGGTCCGCAGGCTTCTGGAGAGCAGTATCCCAATCGAAGGCTTGAGGTACGTCATTAGTCAGGTTGCACATGTTACAACGCCAGCGGTGTCCATGGTCGAGGAATGTGACGAAGGGGTTGATATAGGAGCGGCAGCGTCGGCAACGGGAGATGACCTGATCGGGAATGACTGGGATGGGATCTTCGGAGTCATGCAGCGCTGCATATGGCTGGATGACGAGCGCAAAAGGCAGCTTGGACTTCTTCAGGAGCGAGTGCGTCGTAGGAACCGCATTCAACGTGGAGCGAACGTATTTCGGGGGGCAATTGGCATACGGAGAGGGGTAAACGCTGGTCTAATGAGTGAAGTTAGTGTTTCCCGTCCGTGATAAGGAAATCGGCCATGGACACTTACACCCGGCGGCAGAACGATAGGAGGCGGGGGGTAGTCGAGTTCGGCAACGTTGAACGGCTGAGTGAGGAGGTCGGTAGGATAGAGCTGGTTGAGAGGGACTGCCCGCGGAGCCTGGGGGGCTTGAGCCACGGGCTGCGGCGGCATCAAGTGTGGATCGGTGACTCCCATAGCACCGAACTGCTGGGTCATCTGTGCGACTGGCGGGGAGGCGGGCGCCCCGTAAGCCGGGGCAGCAGCGTGCATCTGAGTAGGGTCTGCGTAGGCCGGTTGCTGGTATCCCGCAGCAGCTGGTGCTTGCGCCGGGTAAGCTCCATAGCTACCACCGCCCGGTAACTGGCCTCCTAAGGCAGCATTGGCACCGGAGCCAAAGTCGAAGGCTTCGCCTGCATATTGTCTCTTCTTTCGTGCGCCAGCTTGCCCTTGCCCCGCGGGCTGTTGTTGCTCAGGAGTTCCGTAACCGACAGGCTGACCGTACCCTTCTTGGGGCGGATAACCCCCCTGTGGTGCTGCCATGGAGGTCGGCTGTGATTTATGACTGTAGGCGGTTGTAGGTGTGCGGGATGGTTTGCGAATCGTTGCAAGGTCACTATATTAGGGGCGGTGGTCAGTCAGTCAACAATTTGAAACAAAGTGGGAGAGTTCAGGGAGGGGAACGGAGAGCGACTGGGTACCAATGACCGGGGATAGATTCACCAAACCGCACGGGTTGGAGAGGCTCTGAGAGTCAAGCAGGAGAACACGTCGAGGTGAGACTCCAGCAAGAAAGGGTGAAATGCAACCAGGAGAAGATAGGTGGTTAGTTGCGTTAATGTCAAAGGCACAGCGTAATTAGGTAGGTAGGTAGAGTCGAGTTGGTAGTGCAGTGATCAGTGCAGTGGACAGTGGATGGTGTACGGTGGCCTTTGCGGCTGCCGCCAACCGGCCAATCAGCACCTCACCGCATCCGAGCCCGACTTGCTCTTTTACAACATCCATCATCATGTTCAACCTTGCCTTTTAGGTAGTTATACTTACAATGCCAATTCGAGGGGAAATTCTCTCTAAAACCCGTACTCTCGAGATGCTCTACAATCTGTACCTTACTGTAATAATCATTATTAGGGTCGACATTCAGCAAAACTGTGGATGTCTCCTGCAAGCTGTGTGATATGGCAGAATGATCTCATACTAACTCAGGGAAGTCATTAGTGGCTAAAAAGATTTCCTCCTGGACATGGGGTATCGCTACCATGGATTGATTAGTCCGAAGTTATACTTGTCTACTAAACATAAATGACCTTTGCTGCTTGTCACTTTCGGCATCTCCCTGCCTTACTTCGTATCCAGGGGTTCTGTCTTTCTAATGTGAATACTATATACATATCAAACGCAATGGTTGGCAGATGCATATTGCGATCGGCTATCTATGGCAGAAATGGCATACAGGGGTGACTACTAGGTAGGTATCAAATTCAAGAACACCATCGGGATTGGAGTGTGTCAAGTACTAAGTACAGATAATTATACCTTATCCTCAATCACGTACCAGTTGTAGGTCCCACATGTGCAGGCGGGAAGAAGAACAGGCAGGGAGAACGTGGGCGTGGTTGCCGTGCCAACAGCGCTGACCGCTGGCAGTCGCACCACAACGAGGCTATCCCTGTCGCTTTCGCCAATTCGAGCTCATCTCGTCATCAACGGCCCTTCGAACACCACGAGCACGCCCGGGTGCAAACTTCACGTTCGATCAATTTGTTTGCTGCGTTTTGCTGTTGTCAACGAGAGTCAATTGAGCAACTTTTGTACTGGTTGTACTGGAATCTACCGACCTAATATTGCGACGTTGAGCGACAGTCCCGGTTCTTGCGCCCACCCAACTCATATTTAATGACTTTAATACCCACGCCTTCAAGGTTCGAAGCATAATTGGTCGACACGGTCAGTTCAAAGGGCACGAACAACCTGGATAAGCACGAATTATTGGTACCATACAATATTTGAGTTTGGAAATCAGTGTACTCTGGCTGTGCTGGCACATAACCAATAATTCACAATGAGTGTTCGGGTCGTCGCACGTATTCGACCTCTGCTCAAGTCGGAGCGCGACTTAGACGTCATCCTTCGCACTGGCCCGTCTGCCCACGGTGCCGACAAGAAGACTACCACACAAGAGAAAGGAGCATTGGCAACACTGAGGGATAGGGATACTGTAGTACGGATCCCGAACCCAAAGAATGAGAGCGAAGAGTACTCTTTCCAGTTCAATGCTGTCTACGAGGCGGAAGCCACACAGCAGGAGCTGTATGAGGCCGAGGGTGAGTGTTGGGAGTCCAAGTCATGGAATATGCCTGTCTGATTCAATGCGCAGTCGCACCAACCGTCAAGCACCTCTTCAACGGTTTCGATGTCACACTTTTCGCATACGGAGTTACGGGGACAGGGAAGACGCACACCATGCGAGGCGGCAAAAGCCTGGTTGACAGAGGCGTCATTCCTCGTCTCCTCAGCAGCATATACAGGCGCAGCCGGAAAATGGAGAAGGAAAGCGGTGGCGAAACCACGGTCAACGTCTCTTTGAGTTATTACGAGATCTACAACGACAAGGTCTTCGATCTGTTCGAGCCTCCAGAAAAGAGAACATTGGCAGGCCTCCCCCTCCGTGATAATGGAGGCAAGACTGTAGTTGTCGGCCTGACGGAGAGACCATGCCACAACCTCAAGGAATTTGAGACCTTGTATGACCAGGCGAACATCAACAGATCGACGTCTGCCACCAAGGTGTGTTCCCATGCTTTTCACTAGGAAGCTTAATTGCTCACTTCGCTACAGCTAAATGCCCACTCATCACGCTCTCACGCCATCCTCTGTGTGCGCGTAACAGTGAGCACTGGCGAAAAAACCTGCGTCAGCACTGCGTCGGCCATTGATCTTGCCGGCTCGGAGGACAACCGTCGGACTGACAACGATAAGGAGCGCATGGTCGAATCTGCCAGTATCAACAAGAGTCTATTTGTGCTCGCCCAGTGTGTGGAAGCGATCAGCAAGAAGCACTCCAGAATTCCATACCGCGAATCGAAAATGACTCGGATCCTCTCCTTGGGACAGAACAATGGGCTGACGGTCATGATCTTGAATCTCGCCCCTGTCAAATCCTATCACCTCGATACAATCAGCTCCCTTAACTTCGCCAACCGAACGAAGAAGATTGAAGTGCGCGAAGTGGAGAACGAACCCATCTTCAAGGGACCTCCCAGGCCGGTGGCACGGCCTTCAATCATGGGCACGCTGCGCCAACCCTTACGCCCTCTGACTGCATCCGTCAATGTAAATTTGACCACAACGGCAGCCAAAGACGCTGCAAACCCTGGCGAAAAGCCCCTGAAAGCATTTCACGTCTACTCCGACAAGTCACAACCGCGCTTCTCCACCCAGCTCAAGAAGCCCGATTTGCCGAAGCGCACATCTCTCAGCGCCGATACCACTGCTCGAATCACGAAACAGCCCATGCGTCTCGCACAATCGACTCACCAGCAGCCCCCGAAGCAATTCGAGGATTTCTCAGCCGCGAGGATTGAGGAGATGGTTGAGAGAAAAGTCGAGGAAATTCTCGCTGTGCGAGCGGTCAGCGAGCAGTCACGGCAAACGCAAGTTCGCGAGCTCAATGAGCAAGTGCAACGCCGCTTGGAGCTTCTCGAGCAACGGATTGAGGGATCGGAAGATGCGCGAGCAGAGGGTCTATCATACCTTCTCATGGCCAAACAGCACCAAGGTCGTGGTGAGGACAATTTCGCTCTCAAGATGTATCAATTGGCACTTCCATTCTTTCCCAACAACGAGAAGCTAGCTCGGAAGATTGCCAACCTGAAGGAACGCATCCACGGCAAATCCCACACGGAAACCCCAGCTGTCGACACGACTAGCAGCGCCGTTAATTCTCATCCCAGCAAGCGCGACTTCGGAAGCATGCTGTCCCTCAAGAAGCAACCCGCCGCCAAAGCAACTCTCAAACGCACCAACGCAGAGGACTCTGACGCAGACTACGAGCCTGTCGACGACGAAGATACCCAGCAAGTAGTGAATCAAGACGAAGAGATCGAGGAAATCGAGGTCGACCTCGAAGAAATCGCCCATGCCCGTCGGCGGAAGCGCACCCGCACGAAAACGCCCATCGATATGGCCGAAGAATTCGAGCCTCCATCCCCACGAACCATCCACCTCCTCTCAATCATCAACTCCCGTGATGTGAGTCAGATCAAGCTCCTGAAAGGCGTGGGGGTCAAAAAGGCCGAGGCCATCGTCGACTGTCTCTGCGAGATGGATCAGCATGTCGAGAGCCCGGGGCTGGAGCAAGAGCAAGCCGCAGCAGCTCAAGTGCACATCCACAGTCTCGCAGAGTTGAGCAAGTTGAAGGGAGTGGGGATGAAGAGTGTTCAGAGCATGCGCAATGGCGTTTTGGTATAGAAGACTTCTTCCGCTTTTTCTTCAAAGCGGTATTTGGAATTCCCTATGAGAAGGCAGGATGTGCCATCTGAGTTCTGCAGTTTGTGTGTCCGCTTTTTGTTTCTTTTGCATTTGCACATATGCATTTTTGGCATGAGCCATCATTGACCCCATCAAGCGAGGGCGTTATTCTGGAGTTGATTTGGTGATAGGAGTTCGAGGGAAGAATTTTGAGTTATATGATTGAAATTACTTTACCATTCTTGATTAGGAGATATACTCAATCTTAAACAACACATACACTAACAATATGATGATTCGACAGACATTTTGATCCCGTACCGTCTATGAATCCCTTTTTCTCCCATTTGAATTAACCCGTCATTCTACCTTTCTCTCAACCAACTTTACCCCCCCCCCTGCCCCCAAAAAATTAAACCTTCCTCACCACCCTCCCCTCACTAATCCACAACTTGGCCAAGCAATAAAACACCACCCCGGAGAACATCACCACCGCACAGAAGACATTCAGCTTGAGATACGACCCGTGCAAGGGGTCCGGGAGCAGGGCGCCCGCGATCGGGGTGCCGGTCAGGGCGGCGAAGCTGACGAGGAAGAAGTACGTGCCGCTGCGGACGCCGATCTCGCGGATCTCGGAGATCTGGGCGACGAGCGCGGGGGCCAGGGAGACGGCGGTGCCCGAGCTGAAGCCGTACAGGGCGCTGAAGCAGATGGAGGGGACATTGCCGTGCGTGGGGAGCCAGAGGCCCAGCACGAGGACGACGGACAGGAACGTCATGAGGATCATCAGGTTGAAGCGGCCGAACAGGTCCGCTAGGTAGGGCGGGATGATGCGGCCTGGGGTGCTGTTTTTGTGTTCCACGAGGGTTAGTTGGGTTGGGTTGGGTTGGGTTGGGTTGGGTTGAGTTTGGGATGAAAGAGGGGGCTTTTTGAGGTTGGGGCAACGAACCTAGCGGCATTCATGATGGGGATCAGGTACGATGCCAGCGAGGCCGACATGCCGTTCTTCTGCGCCTGGCTGGGGATGAAGCTGAAGGGGAGGAACATGCCCCAGAAGAAGCAGAAGGTGCCGGCGGTGGTGAGCAGGAAGGGGACCTCGCGGAGGGGCCGCACGAAGTCGAGGAAGTGGAACGGCTTGCGGCGGTGCTGGAGCCGCGACTTCAGGGTGCAGTTGGCGATGACCAGGCAGAACAGGATCAGGAAGGCGCAGATGCGCACCGCCCAGCCGAAGTCGAGCTGGTCGAAGAGCCGGGTGAGCATGATCGGGAGGATGACGCCCCCCAGGCTGGCGCCGCTGGTGGCGATGCCGAGCGCGAGCGCGCGCCGCCGCCCGAACCAGGTGCTGATGGAGTTGATGCTGCAGTGGAAGAGCGCGCTGGTGCCGATCGGGCTGCACAGGCCCTGGGCGAGCAGGAACTGGTAGTACTCCGTGGAGATGGAGATCATCATGAGTCCGAAGACGTGGAAGAAGGTGCCGGCGAGCACGATGTATCGGGGTCCGAAGTTGTCGAAGAGGATCCCGACGAAGGGGCCCTGTCCCCTGGTCAGTTGCAAGGATGCGTATGGTTGGCGTAGAGAGAGTTAAAGTATATGGCATCTACGTACCCCGAAAAACATCATGAAGGTCATCAGAGACGTGACCCATGTCACAGTGCTGGTGGACTCGTCCTGCAACTGGTGTGTCTTGTAATAATCGATGAAAATGCCCATGCCTAATTTCGCTCATCAATAACAGACTTCACCCAGAGTGTGCTGCGAGCAGGAACTCACAGTTGACCCAGCCGAAGCTGACGAACATAGCGCAGAAGCCACCCAGAACAGTGAGCCAGGCCTCCATCCCACCATCTGGAGCTCCCTTGGGCCCTTGTGCCAGCTGCGTCGTGGCCGCGGCAGCGCCTATCTTCTCCACTGAATCGCTCGTGTTGCTGCTTCCTTCTTGCCCTGCCTCGAGAGGATGTTGTCGCCCGCTGACAAGCTCGTCCTTGTCAGCTTCAACGTCGACCTGCGTTGTTGTTGAAGTCGATCCATGGCTGTGATATAGTTCATTGATGTCTTCTGCGGGAAGCTCACTGGGAAGGTCAAACTCGTGCCGTTGCATGTTGTTCGTCATCTTTCTCAAGACTCGTGGTCTCGGGGGTCACGATTCTCGTATGTCCGACAGGTCACTCCAAGGTAGGAATATTCTTGTCAAGAACTGCCTTCTCAGCAAGAACGGTGATACAGGATGAGCCTCGATGAGAACGAGGCACCGGCACGGGCCGGAGATAAATTTTGAAATCGAACGGAGCCATTCGGGGGGATTTCGTCGCCATGGGGTGAGTTATTATCCCTTACGGGTCGGTTAGCTCATGAACGAGTCGTTCAAAACAATCCGTACCAAGGGGGGCTTGGCACAACAGAGAAGTCAGATATGATGAGCAAACCTTGATATGCCCGATCTATTGGAGCCCCTTGCAGGACCCTTGGTCCGGAATGATGTTCACCTCTTCCATACTTTTGCGCAACTGCTGCCCGTGTTTACTGTAATTCCTCATGAGCAAGTTCGAGAGATGAAGTGGCAGAAGTCAGGAAAAGGCAGCAGATGATCCAAGCGCGATCAGCAAGATATGGGATTCATGAAGAGAGTTTTGGCGTACGATCGGACGCATGCTGTCTATAGTACATTGAGCCTGCAATGAAAATGAACCCTCCAATAATTGAACTCGGACTTATGCAACGGAACAGGATAATTGAAACAGATTGCTTAACTCAATTGGCTCATTCCAGCTTCTCAAAAACCACCTTGCCATCCTTGGTGAGTCTGGCGACGCTCTGCGACGTGCCCTTTGCTTCTTGGAACAAGTCGTTCGCCGTCCGGGAGGGAACAGGGGCAGCATTCACCGCCTCCTCGGCTGCTTTCCGCGATGCTTCCTCCGCCGGTGTTGGAGGCTTCGCTGGGCCAATGGTCAATCCACGCGGAGCACTGGCAAGCTCGTTCACCTCGTGCTTCGTCAGGACCTCGTTGATGCGAGGCCCGCGGGTTTGAAGGAGAATAGTTGTAGGGCCGTCGAATTGAAGGAATAGCTAAACAGCATCAGCACTGGGCGCAATACAACTTGAGGGTGAGATCGATTGAGCATACCCTGTCACCCCAGATGGTCATTCGAGACCAGGTGCGAAGCCTGTGAACCAGCTTCATTGTAGACTTCCAAGTATCCGCTTCGGACATAGCTTGGAGGAACTTGGAATTCTGAATGTAGCTTTGAATGAAGGCAGGCAGGTTCTTAAGGCCCGGAACCTGAAGCTTCAATGTCGTAGACTTGAAACGGTAGGGACGAGGGGGGTTGGACGAGATAGTGTAAGCAACAACATTGCTTTTCGAGACCAGTTAGCTGAGCTTCTGCACAGTGGGTAGAATTGACAAGCATACCTGGGATGGACTATGTATTGCTCGCCGGCCTTGAGCTCGACCGAATACAGCTGGCCGTTGCCAACCAGAGCCAACAATCCTCTGCCAGTGACCTCAGAGCTACCCCAGTGGGCCAGGCTCTTCGCGAATTAGCTATAATCATAAGACCATGTGACGTTCCGGATGAGACGAACCAGGTTCGTGTTGATGGTGGGTCGAATGGAGAGCGAACGACCTGTCCAGGCAAGTAGCGCTCGCCTTTGAGCGACCATCCAGTCGACCGAGCCATTGAGGTGTACGACCGCAAAAGAGGTGTTTGGCGAGCGGACGGAGACCAGGGCCGTCACCGGGCTGGCGGAGGATATCTGCGCGGAAATTTAGCCCCAAACCCCTCGACTTATGGAGACAGATCAGACCTTTTGATAGAGGAACGGCACGCCGACAATAGCTCTTCGGAAAGGTTCAAGGACACTCAAGGTGGAAATCACCTGGTGGTATCAGATGTTAGAGGTAGCTCGTACGTGAGCAGATTGCGAAAGTTCCGGTATTTGCATACATTGTCTGCTTTCCCACTCAACCCAACCAACGTCCCTCGGCGAGTGTACAGATTCTGCGAAGCGGAAAGCGAAACCGACAGGAGCGAGTAGGGTGCGCCAATGACATCGAACCGAGCATCTATATCGATAGGAGTATATTAGCAAGGAGTTTCAGTGTGAACCGAGGGCTCCAATTGCCTGCACCGCATTGAATTGGATTTGCGACAAGACCTACCAGCGGATTCAGCTGATGTGGGAGTGCTGGACACAGGGAGATTGTCTCCATTGACCGCAGGCTGTTCCGCGGGCGCAGCGCGAATCTGGACGCCTCTGGTCTGGCATGCGCGGTGCAGCAAAGCTCCTTGTCGCGCCCGAGGGGGAGAAACACGAGTCCAGGACAGAGCCCGGACAGCTCCCCTCAAAGGTTGGCCTGTTGCCATGGTTGAAAGGGGAGTGTGTGAACCTGCGAAGAGAGGAGGAAATAACTGGGAGCTGAACGAGGATGCTTCGGCTCGTCCTTCACGGTAATCGCAGTAATTCTTCGCAGTTCCTGATCGGGGAAAGCGTTGCTCTGCGGCTTGGCACTCAATGACCGGCGTTCGACCACTTCTGCCCTGGTGCTTTTTGGTCTGCAGTTGAACGGCGGAAATGAGATCAAAGCCACTTGTAAGGGTAGAGATAACTCTGTTTACCTCAAGGATAAGCCTTCATCCCAACCAGGAGAAGTGTTGCATTGAGCTCTGGTGGTTCCTGTGCGCCAGACGGCTTCCCGCTGATGTCATACCGGTCTCACGCGTATAACTTCTGCGGTATAGTTAGCTCTAGTACGAGTTGGAGGAGTGGTTGTTATTCCTCCCCTGCCATTAAAAGACAAGGCTATTTGGTATTGTCTAATATGCATACATATCATGATCACTGCCTGCAATTGAGTGACCAAAGATAACATGGGTACGCGAGCTGAATTGTAAGCCCTGGCATCTTTGAAAAGAGGGATTCACGTGACTGGACCGAGATGGCTCAGGGAGCGCTCGCGGAATAGTCCGGACACGCACACCATTACTCCGGGGTACGCACCAAGCCACGTGATTCGACGTTTCTATCGGGGCCACTTTATCTGCACAGATAAGGTTGTGGAGACGCCCAAGGAGGACTGTCCATGTCTCCATGAAGGCGAATCGGCCCCGCAACTCGCTCATCTCATCACCGGCGCCCGTACAATGGAAATTAGCTAAGTAGACATTAGGCCGTGACCTGTACTGGGTTGAGGACTATGTTCTCCGTCCGATTCCTCTTGAGCGTTCTCCCCTTTGCCTAACTTCATAATGAAGCGAGCCGGGCGAATCGCTTGGACTAATGTTTGCCGTCGCGGTGCTCGCAGGTGTTTTGCTACGTCTCTACCCTCCACTTCTTGCTGTCGTCGAACCTCCCTTCAGTCAGCTCTGAGAACTACAGCAGTGCCGCGTCGAACGGTAATTTCGTCAGCGCAGTGGACATGCACCCCGAGAGTGTTTCCCACCTCGGGGGTCAAGTTGCTGGACCAGTCCGCTGAGCTTGACGAGGAGACACTGCCGAATTACCAACTCGAGAAATACTACCCAGTCACCCAGGGTGAAGCACTCAATGATCGGTATCAAACCCTTGCCAAACTAGGATACGGAGTCACTTCCACAGTTTGGCTGGCGAAAGACTTGGTGTATGTGCAGCTGATTCATATGACCCTGATGATAACGGAGATCCTAATAGTATGCTTCAAACCAGTGTATCGACATATGTGGTTTTAAAGGTCTACATCACGGGCCAGAACCGGGACCTTGAGCGAGAACTAGACATTTACAAGCGCATTAATTCAATGGAAGCACAACACCCCGGGAAAAACTTCATTCGTAAACTTCTCAACTATTTTTATCTCCAGGGCCCTCATGGCTGTCACGCCTGTCTTGTTCACGAGCCTCTCGGAATGACTGCAGATTTTCTAGTAAGGGTGGCTCCTCGGAACGAAAAAACCCTTGATTTCATGAAGCCTGCTATCCGACAGCTACTCGTCGCCCTGGATTTCCTGCATTCAGAGTGCCATATCATCCATACAGGTTATATGCTTACCACCCCCCTTGAGGATCTTGAGTTACAGGCCTAGTGTTGGCACAGATCTCCAGCTGAAGAACCTACTACTTCCCGGCCCGGAGACAAGCCATCTTTTCCAATTCGAAGAGCGTGAAGTTGGAAACCCAACACCCCGAAAGAAGCTTAAAGATCGAACGATCTATAAGTCTTTAGGTTTTCTCTCTCCGGGCGGACTGCCAATTCTCGCTGATTTTGGAGAAGCTCGATTTGGCGATAAAAGGCAGAATGGCGATATTACGCCGATTGTTTATAGAGCTCCGGAAGTGATTTTAAGGTCGAGCTGGGACTATAAGGTAGATATATGGAATATTGCTATGGTTGTGAGTAGAACTATTCTTACATTTACTTATCATAAAAATGCTAATACTGGGGTATACTTAGGCCTGGGATATTGTCAGCTCTCGCACCCTGATCAATGGCAAAAATCCAGATGGCATATTTGATGATCGGGTCCATATAGCAGAACTGATTGCTCTGCTAGGCCCTCCACCCCCCGAATCCCGGGAACAGAGACACCTCAGCTCAGCCTTCTGGGATAAGTCGGGGAAGTGGAAGGAGGTTGCCTCTATTCCAGATATTACCCTCGAGAGCCTGGCCTCGGAGGTGGAAGGGGAAGGTAAAGAGGGGTTTTTTCGGTGGCTCCGAATGGCCTTGCAGTGGAACCCCGACGACCGGCCCACGGCTTTGGAACTCTTGTTCGACGAGTGGATGATGAAGGGACCTTGAAGTGAAGGGAGGGAGAAGCAAATAGCGCGGCTGAACAAGATCAATGACCGTTATACGGGCTTGAACCATTCTGCCGCTGGAGAGCAATCGATACCCTATCAGGTGTTCCATGGTCGACAAGACATTGGCAATGAGAACACACTAAGAATCTCCTCTTGACCGGCTCTGAGGTGATCTCGACCAGTAGGCAAATCGCAGCTAGCAGAACAGTTAGACGCGGCCGGTGAACAACTGGCTGGGAGAATTGGTTGAGATAATCTACGGGAAGCTAAGGTCGTGAGATTAACAACCATGAAAGATCGCAAGCCGAGAGGACCACACCCCTCAAGCCAGGCCGGCCGCTGGGCGACCCAGCTCAGCGTCAGTGTAGCATGTTCCTAAGTGCCAGGGAGAGAAACTCCGCCAAGCCGAGTATTCGGCCCTCTTGACATCCTGCTCAACTTAATCAGGTAAGCCCGTGTGGGACTACAGAGCCACTGAGAACGACGACTCTGAGTTATGATAGGGTCTATCTGCTTAGCATTCGAAGGGCCGTGCCTCTGGGGAATCGAATCGATCCGTATCGGAACGATCAGTGGATCCAATCCACCCTAATAGATATCGACCATAGGCCCATGTGTTGGATGGCCAAAGACAAACAAGGCTGAGAGAGAATAGTGTTGTCCGGACATGGCTGTTTCCAAAGCTTACTTTATCTCCCGTTGCAGGGGCAGAAGACCGGAAGTTGTCAAACGGATGTACTGTACAAGTCATGCGATGGATACGGGAGAAGGGGCCGGTTCTTTCAAGTTCAGTGCAGTTTCGTCCTGATCGCTCTCCTCGTCGGACTCGGCGTTGCGATCAACAGGATTCATGCCGTCTGCATCTGCTTCCTTCTTCTCTTGCTTAGTATCTCTTTGCCAAAGTGCCCTCATCATTCACGCCCAGGGAGAGAGACAAATAGATGCCCGTGGACTGCACATCGTGTGGTCGGTGCTAACGTGGCCAACATTTCATCCGTGATTGGCATCGAGCGAACAGTCAAGTCAAGACAGATATTTGCAATCCCCATCGTAATCCCAAACCTCTTGTTCTGGATGTTGCTATGCGAAAGCCAGACCTTCCACTGTGCTTCGATGGGGGCGATATGCGAAGATCAGCCCGAGAGCAAGGCATTAGAAAAAGATCTGCTTCGAAAGCGCTGATGGATTGCTGGGGCGCTTGCTGGGGCACTCGAATGCTTATTACGCACTATACACCGGATTGTAAGAGCCATCAGCACACGCACCGGGCGCGCTCATGCCACGATCCCGGCTGCTGATCCCAGAGCGAAAGGCGGCGTTGACCTAAACCTATTCTGGAAATGGAAAGTCGACGCGGCGGGCAGTGTTCAATAGTAACCTTGAATTCCATTGACTACCGGAGATTGTCCAACAAGACCAAATCGGCGATGATTGCGCCAGATCTGCCTTTATTCGTGTCATTTAGTCTATCGGCTCGCATATAAAACTCCTTGATGATTGTCGTCAAACATCCATTGCCTCCTTGACCCTTCATAGCACTTCAAAAATCAAGATTCCCGATCTCCCCGCGCTCCCCCCCCCCCCCCCCCCCCCCCCCCCCCCCCCGCCGACGATTTCCTCCGAACCCGGCGGGTCCTCATTCACAAGCCGGCGGCGTCTCGCGCGGAGAACCCTTGTGCCTGTTTCTCTGTCCGACACTACAATGCGCCATTGAGAGCGGAGGAAGTCTTGAACATTTCCCGGTCATTGTGAAGATTGTTGACCGGCCACCATGCTGCCCAGGGCCGCCCGGTCGCCGTGCTGGCGTGTCCCGGGGCGCTTCGTATACCAGCGCCGATTTGTCACGCGCCCAACCTCATGGACCTCTGCTTTGTACGGAGTGCAACTCAGAGCCGTCTCGACATCCAGCGAATCCAACAGGAAACAAGTGTCTGCGAGCAAACCTCCCGCCTCGGAGAACCCTACCAGCCCAGCTGCGGTACAACCGGGAGCAGCGAATGCGACTCAGGCTTCCACGACAGCCCCCGAGAACCAGAATGCCACCACTACTCCCAAGAAGAAGGACTTGCTTAGCGAGGCCACGCTAGCGACCAAGGAACAAAGGAAAGCGGACTGGGCGATCATGAAGGAGATGACAAAGTATCTTTGGCCAAAGGTGGGAGGACTTGAATGCAAATGCGGCGGAGCTATCCGGAGCTGTGCTAATTAGATACGGAGCAGGACGATTGGGGAACAAAGCTTCGGGTTGGAAGCGCCCTATCTCTACTTATCGGGGCCAAGGTAAGTTGCAGGGGGAATGTTGGTCATGCAGACTGGTGTGCTGACCGGGCGCCCCCAGATCTTGAACGTTGAGGTACCCTTCTACTTCAAAAGCATTGTCGACTCGATGAATGTGGATTTCGCGACTGTAGGTGGTACAGCCTATACAGTTGCGGGCTCGATGATTATCGCCTGTAAGTCAGGATCTCGCCGCTCAATTGTCCAGGCCTAATCTTGAATTGCCAGACGGTGTCACGAGAATCGGTGCCACTGTGTTCCAGGAACTCAGGAATGCGGTCTTCGCCAGTGTTGCCCAAAAAGCGATCCGCAAGGTCGCGCGAAACGTCTTTGAACACCTACTACGCCTAGATTTGAACTTTCACCTCACGCGCCAAACCGGAGGATTGACGCGGGCAATTGACCGTGGTACCAAGGGTATCAGCTTCTTGCTGACTTCCATGGTGTTCCACGTCGTCCCTACCGCGCTGGAAATCTCCCTCGTGTGCGGGATTCTGGTATAGCATGGCCCGGTTTGTCTAATTGAATGTGCCAAGGTACTTACTAACCATGACGACAGACTTATCAGTATGGCTTCAAATTCGCGGCGATCACGGCTACTACCATGCTCGCATATTCGGCCTTTACCATTACCACCACCGCCTGGAGAACCAAATTTCGTAAGCAGGCCAACGCCGCCGATAATCGTGGTGCCACCGTTGCTGTAGACTCCCTGATCAACTACGAGGCCGTCAAGTACTTCAACAACGAGAGGTTTGAGGTTGCTCGCTACGACAAGGCGCTTAAGAATTACGAGGATGCTTCGATCAAAGTCACCACCTCCCTTGCATTCCTCAACTCTGGGCAGAACATGATCTTCTCCAGCGCCCTGGCGGCAATGATGTATCTCGCGGCCGACGGCGTGGCCACTGGCACTCTGACCGTTGGTGACCTGGTTATGGTTAACCAGCTTGTCTTCCAGCTCTCCGTCCCTCTGAACTTCCTCGGATCCGTGTACCGCGAGCTTCGCCAGTCACTGTTGGACATGGAAACGTTGTTCAATCTGCAAAAAGTCAATGTGAACATCATTGAGCGCCCCAACGCGAAGCCCCTGGTGCTGAACCAAGGGGGTGAGATCCGGTTCGAGAACGTCACCTTCGGCTACCACCCAGAGCGGCCGATCCTCAAGAACGCTAGCTTTACGATCCCTGCCGGTCAGAAATTCGCGGTCGTCGGGCCCAGTGGTTGCGGCAAATCAACCATTCTGCGCCTGCTGTTCCGCTTCTACGATGTCCAGGAGGGCCGGATCCTCATCGATGGGCAAGACATCCGTGACGTGACGCTCGAGAGTCTGCGCAAGGCCATCGGGGTGGTGCCCCAGGATACTCCCTTGTTCAACGACACGATCGAACATAATATCCGGTATGGGCAGATCGACGCAACCGATGAAGACGTCCGCAAGGCTGCCCGACGCGCCCATATCCACGAACTGATCGAGAAGCTACCCGATGGATACCAGACGGCTGTCGGAGAGCGGGGGATGATGATCTCCGGTGGTGAGAAGCAGCGACTGGCCGTCTCGCGGTTAATCCTGAAGGATCCCGAGCTTCTCTTCTTTGACGAGGCGGTAAGTATCATGCCTCTTCCTACCAGTAGACTCGCTTGTGCTAAAGGGTTGGGGCGCTAACGGATCACCCGAACCAGACCTCTGCATTGGACACCTACACGGAGAAGGCACTGTTGCAGAACATCAACAGTATTCTCAAGGAGAAGCGCCGCACGAGCGTCTTCGTGGCCCACCGATTGCGGACGATCTACGACTGCGACCAGATCCTGGTGCTGAAGGAGGGCCGTGTGGTGGAGATAGGTTCGCACCGCGAACTTCTGGAACAGAATGGCATCTATTCTGAATTGTGGAACAGTAAGTGGAGTTTGCTTTTTTTTTCTCCCATGCATCCGCCACCAAGCCATACGAACTCGTTTTGAGCGCTAACGTCCGCCACAGCACAAGAAATGTCTCTCACGGAAGAGCAGGGATCGGAAAGCGCAGAAGAGGAGGAAGTGGAGCAAGACGCTGGCCCGTCCTCCCCCCAGCGACAGAAGTGAGCTCGTGGGCGTACCTTTTTTTTGCTGGAGATCGGGCGACAAGAGATTAAGGTTTACGTAAATATACTTTTTAGATTTAGAAACACGACTCGCAGCTCAAGCGGTCGTTGAAAATCAGAATGAGTTTATGATCAACTAAAATGGTGCCAGCCTTCCCCTCTCTATCTAAGCCAAACCACCGGCGGGGGTTCCGATGGAGCTCCAGCATTTCGTAAGTTTGGGTCAGGGCTTTTAGTGTTGGAGATGAGAGCGTTAGGCACGGCTATTGAAAGTCGACCATGGATGATACCACTTGGCTGGGTACGCCAGTCTCGTTCTGGGGAGGGATACACATGAGGTAAATCTTCTCGTCTCGTTCTGGTCGCGTGTCTGGCAGCAGTAGTTGAACTACTACTCCGTAGGTATGCAGCAATAACTACCAACCAAACTATTGTCCGTTGTTGAAAAAGCATGTGTCGAAGAATCACCTGCCGATCCGACCGTTTCCGTCCATGGAACTGCAGGTGTCAACCCGGAAAGAGGCAACGCTAGTCAAGGAGGGACGGACCAGCACGTTTATCCTCCGCAAACAATCACAAAACAAGCATGCAGAAAGGAAAGGAGTTTTCTCGAAGATCGAGAAGATGGGGCGCTGGGATACTAGGTCAACTGCCAAGGGTGACTATGCGAATAGGTTCAAACCTTGCTGGTTGGTGTTCCAGCAATTGTGGCATTGTAGCGAGAGTGATTTGAGTTGTTGTGTCGTGTTGGTGTAATACTCATAGGTAATAGTGCTGGCTAGTGTTTCTAGTAATCTACTAGTCAGGGGTTGAAGAGGCAACACGGGCCATGAGGAAGACTGTGTGGTTTGCGGCTTTTGCCAACTGACCAAGAACTAAACCCAGTTCAACCCCTGGCTAACCCCACTATGGTTAGACCCAACCCACAACCCACGTTGTTGCAGTTGCAGTGCAGTTGCTTCCCTTCCTTGTCCGTCCGTCACTCTGCCGACACTCCCTCACTTTGTCCCGTCCAGACTCGCTCTCTTTCACTTCCGCTTCTGCTTCTTCTCTTCTTCTTCATTCTTCTTCCCCTCGTGGACTCGTCATAATCTCTTTCCCCCTCTTCTTCCCTTCCAACCCCACGTTCGTTCTCTGCTTATTTCCTTTCGGTTCCTCTTCCGTTCTTTCTAGTCCTTAGTCCTATAGTGTTGCCAATAATTCCCTCGAGTCTCAACCTAAACTAGTCTTATCAATTCCGCTTTAGTTCCGGAGCAGAGTCTCTCCTTGGGTGCCAATCTTCCGAGCCACCGCGTCTCCCTACTAAACTCCCACCAACTCCCACCAACTGAGCCACTAAAGCTATTAACCCTCCAATCGCACTTGCACTCGGCTACTTTGCTTGCTTCGACTTGCATCTAGCTCCCTTTCCCACCATCCACCATTTACCTTTATACCCCCCCCCCCCCTTCTCGCCTACCGCACCACTGCATAAACCAGCCTTCCCTCCTTCTCGTGCAGGTGCAGCTCAAGGCTCACTCAGATATATCGCTCGCTCAACTGCAACTTGGTCCCTTCATTAGAATTCATACAATCCTCCTCCCTTCGCCCCCAAACGTTAACGGCCCGATTCCGAACTAGCCGAACCACTCCTAACACAACTACACACACAAAAACACACAAAATGGGCTTCATTGAGAAGTTGCAAGCAAGTACGTTTCTCATCAACTCTTGATGGTCGCGCGGCAGCGCATGCCCCTGATCACCCCCGGACCCGATCGCTACCCCCGCAAAAGCAGCCCCATGCTAACAGAATGACTTCACAGAGCTGGAGCTTTACCGTCTAGAGCAGCGTTATGCTCGTCGCAAGCACCGGAGCACCTTCTCGGGCGTGCAGTATGTCGACGGCGAATACCATTACTCCAGCGGATCGAACTCCTCCACCGGCACTGTCTCCAAACAATCCACGGGAGGCTACTGGAAGCCCCCAACATGGGGATCATCCGGGGATTCGCGCTGGCGGTGATTCCGGCATCAAACCCGACCCGATTTAACGCACTGCCTCAATCCCATTTTGTTCGACCATTGATCCTCGACATAACGTCTCGTGTCAAGGATATGACGACTTGTCCTTCTTTGCTTCTTCATTCCATTCGTCGGGTCCAGCACCCAAGCGGGAGAAAAAGTCCATGGTTTTTCTTACCTTTGAAGCTTGCCTCGGATGTCTCGCCCATGATGCGATGAGGAGCGAGATTGGTTCGATCCATCTATCCACAAAGAATCGCACCGCGTGCGCTGGCTTATCTCGCTCCCGCGCAGTTGAAGTTTGGTCCATGGGTCATACAGGGACTTCCCATCTGCCGGTTCAATTGGCCTTTAACACTCTGTATCTCCTCGTGGCTATTTTCTGGAAGTCATATGCCACCATCTTGCTGACGCCTTTCATGCATGATCTGTTTCGACCATTGACTATGCTCCGTTGATTCTAGCCGCCGCTGTCTTGTTTCTGCTTCGGAGTTGTGATCGCTCAAGCGATGTTGCACTTTCTATCTGTCCATATTTTACTCGAGCCCATTAGCGAGTCGTCGGTGACCTCGACGGCGCATCTATCTGTTTCAAACTGTTCTCGCTACCCTTACTGTACATACATTACACGGTCTACCCCGAATATACATTTACCACTAGCATCTGACTTACATGTTTGCCATCAGTCACGTGGAGGAGTCAAAGAAAGGTATAGTAAGTCTCGAAGTCGGATTGCGATGGTCTAATGATATCATATCATCTTGGCAAGCTCCCGCGCATCATTGCGAAGCATGGCGGGATGCAGGCCAATGACAGCTTCACATCTAGGCATATATCCTGAGTAATCTCGGGATAGGCAGGTTCAAGACACCGCGCTCCACCTCTTCCTTGTTGTTCATCATTCACCGACCTCCCCAACTTTCATCTCCATCTAAAGATCGAAACGGGCCCTCATTGCCCGCTCTCTTGACGACTTCCCGAAATGCAAAACAAACAAAAACAGAAACAAAAAGAAAAAAAAACAAGGAACCCCCAGTCTTCCCCCGAGGCCCAGAAATACAAGAATAGCCGAACCGAAACGATCACCGTTTCGACTTGCGACCCCCAATCCCCAAGCGACCCAGGTTCGGTAGACTGGTTTTATGTCTGTGCCCGGCCCCGGCCGCGGCTCGACCGGCCGCGCCGCCCCCAGCTGCTGCAGCCGCAGCGCCCGGCCCAGAACCTGCACCACCTGCACCTGCCGAACCACCAGCACCAGCACCAGCACCAGCACCAGCACCACCATTCCCACCGGAATCGAGCCCACCGCCGGCGCGCGCCCCGTCCCCACCGGTTCCGGCTCCCAGGCCCGCCGTGCCTCCCCTCGGCACATCTGGCAACATGGCGGCGATGGTACTCCGGTCGCGGCCCCCGCGGTGGACTAGATCTACGCCTGCGCCGGGGTGTCGTGTGAGTGTAAGTCCTCCTGCTCCGTCACCGGCCGCCACCCCGAAGGGCCCGCCGGCGTCCTGGTCGAGGGGTCGCTGCGAGGCGCGCTGGGCGCGACGGGCCTTCTCCTGGACAGATTTGAATTTGTCGAGGAGTTCGACCCACCGGATCGAGGAGGTGCTTGAGGACGATAATGATGATGAGGTTCCTGCGGCTGCGGCTGCTGCCGCAGAGGTGGTGGTGTAGGTTGAGCTGGAGGAGTCTTCGCGTTTGAGGCGGCTGCTGCCGGTGGGGCGGTCGTAGGTGGAGGTGGAGTTTGTGGTTAGGGAGGAGGGGAGCGCGGTTCTGGGATTTTCCATCCGGCGTTAGAGATTGAAGATGATGATGCTTTGGGAGGTGGGACTTACAGTCGGGGACCGGTGTGGAGGAGTCCGATGCTGCTGACGCTGTTGAGACGGTTTTTTAAGGCGGCGAAGGCGGAGCTTTGCGGGAGGAGCATTAGGACTCCGTAGAGGCATTTGTAGAGGTAGGGGTATCGTTCTGGTTCGAGGAGTTGGAGACGTAGGTCTGTTGTTGTTGTTAGGAGTGGTGAGCTTTGAGGGAGCTGGGGGCCAACGGGAGAACTGACAGGTGAAGACGGGGGATTCGAGCAGCTGGACTAGCTTGTCGATTTGGATTAACATGTTGACGGTCATTTCGAGCTCGGCGCTGTTTCAGGATATTTGTTTAGTGACTATCAACGCTGGTGTTCGAGGGAAGATGGTCGTACAATACTTGGAGGAGATTGTATGCTTGTTCGTAGGCTTGGGCGAGCAGACAGAGCGAGAATGTCGAGACCGCGTTGTGACACCAGGACCTGAATAGAGCGACGAAGAAAGCCTGGCCGTCCTGACATTGGGTCAGTTTCTTGGAATACGTGCGGCCGGTATATCCTACCTTGTTGTCGAGGTTCCTCAGGCGCTTCCGGAGTTCCGAGAGCTCGGGAGCTGTGATGAGGTTGTTGTTGAGATTCTGTACCATGATGCTCGCGAACTCGAGGTCCTGTTGTTCATTTAATGAATGGGGTCAGTGAGGGGGGTTCAGTCGTGATGGTCCTTTAATGTGGTGGTGGTAATTCTCACCTCCTCTTTCTCGAGACAGTCCGCGAGAGTCCTGTAGATGCGCTCGGGGCTGAGGTTCATGCACAGCTGCCGGATGATGAGGTTCCCGCGCACCTCTAGCAGACTCCTATCCGTGGAGAAGAGCTGCAGCAGGTTCACCATGAATGACTTGAAGTAGCTGTCCTCGCTGTTCCTGGAGATTTGCGAGAGGAGCTGCAGATCCTTGGTCACCACCACCTCCGCGGGATCGGACAGCGTCTTGAGCAAGGCCGGGAACGTGCCATCGTTGAACGCGATCACCTTCTTCGGCGCCTTGCGGTGGAGCATGATCAGCCAGGACAGGGCCGCGACACGGGTGGTCTCGTTCTCGTTCAGGAACTGCAGCGTCAGAGAGTTGACCGCCGCAGCGTAGTCGAGATCGGCGGGCGGCACGGATGTTGAGATGATGCTGCTCCTGGGGGTCGGCTCGGTCGACACCTCTTGTGGCGGCGAGGCCTGCTTTTTCGTCTCGTTCGACGTGCCTTCGGAAGGTCTGCTGCCTGGTGTGGACGACCTTCGTTCGACGACCACGTCTTTGCCATTCGTGTTACTGGGCTTGGTCACTGGCCCTTGTCGGGAGGTCTCCTCCGACGTGTCTTCGGACAATGTGACGATGTATTCCAGCAGAGATGTATTCACTCGGTTGGCGGCCTGCCGCACTTGGTCCGAGCCGCTGGACATCGCCGGGAGTACTTGGGTCAGCAGGCGAGGCACAAAGGGCAAGATGTCTTCGGGACTGATCTCGAAGAAATTGTCGATCCAACGCAAAGCCGTCAACTGCATTTCTTCCACTAGCGAATTATGATGCGCGTAAGTGTCCGTTCCACCAGGTACTAGAACAAGTGAATGATAGCTCACCGAATGAAGTGTCAACATATCCCACGAGAATCTCCAATATCCTTGCATAGTCGATCTGGACGTCTTGGCCAGGAATCCAATCCCCGTCTGCGTTGAATCCATCTTCATCAGTCACGGAATCTATTTCGGAATCTTCTATCGCGTTATCATTA